TTCTTGGATTGCCATGATTTTGGAAGTGAGTAAACTAACTTCCTCACAAGCTTCTCGTTAGGAATGATCTCTCCATATGATTTGAGACCATTGACAATAGTTGAGAATCTATCTGTCATAGCTTTGATATCTTCATTTGGTTTCATCCTGAAATTTTCATAGCTATGTGTTAGAAGACTAATTTTAGATTCATTTACCTCGTCGGTGCCTTCATGAGTGACTTGTAGTTTATCCCATATTTCTTTGGCGGTTGTACAAGATGAAACTCTTCCATATTCATCTGGTCCAAGAGCACAAAATATGATATGGAAAGCTTTGGAGTTGAGCTGAAACATTCTTATCTCTCATTCACTCCACAATCTTGGATGAGTAAGAGGTTTGATATATCCGTCTTCTACAACATTCCATGCTCCCATGTCACTGGCTTGAATGAAATACATCATCCTATTCTTCCAATAGGCATAGTTAGCTCCATTGAAGAAAGGAGGCTTGTTGACGAGCATCGAATCGAGACCGGAGTCGACGTTTGAAGTGGAGGCCCATTGATGACTTTGATTATCGATGTAACTCTTCCCGGATCTACTCAAGAGGAGGTTAAACCTTCAAATGAGTCAAGCTTTGATGCCAATTATTGAGTTAATCGATTGACGGAATCGGCCAAGAGGGGGGGTGAATTGTCAATTAAAATTTTTGTGGAAGCTTTTGCAGAAAATTGAAAGTAATAGCACAGTGATTTAGAGTGGTTCGACTTTCTCAATCAAAGTCTACGTCCACTACCTTAGCTATCCACACTAAGGATTTTCCAACAAATTCACTAATTTGTTCTTTCTTTTGAGGCCAAAGAGATAACCTTACAACTCCCTCAAGAATCTACCCCAATTCTTGAGAATACTCTTTCTCAAAGAGAAGATTACAAATTTGCAAACTTACAAGGAAATCCTCACAAGGTAGTTTGCACAATTCTAGAACAAAGAAAAGAACACTAAAAAATGAATACAATTGAGTACAAGTAGTGTTCTTGAAAGCAAAATGAATATTGAATGAAAAATAGGCTTGAAATGCTCAAACTTGAGGTTTGATGCTTTCTCTTTGACTCTCTCTTGATTCTTGTTGATTGTTGTTTCTTGTTTTTGATCAATGGATTCTAAGCTTGTTTAAATACACCTTTAAATGATTCTGAACGTTGGGGATGATTAGTGGAGTTAATAAAGCCATTTTAGTGTGAAATCAATTAATAAAACAACTTGGAGCGTGGGGGGAATCGGTACCCGCTCATGGGGAATCGGTTCCCTAAGTGTAAAATTCAAATATTTCGACCGTTGATCAGGGGGGAATCGATACACCCTTAGGGGGGAATCGATTCCCTTCGAGCATTCTGTTTTTCTCAAAGCCGAACCATTCAGGGGAGAATCGGTATCCCCTTTGGGGGAATCGGTTCCCTCTGGACATACTGGAATTTTTGGCTTTGAAATGGTTCGAAATACTTTGTAAAATTATTTTGAAATTATTTTAAGATTAAAACTTAATTTTACACTTGAGTAAGGATTAAAAATGACATTTTAAAGATTTGGAGTAATATTTTGATATTCGAATAATTATATCGAATATACTTAGAAAATCTTTTGAAAAATCTTAAAATTCATTTATCTTAATTTGTTATATCGAAATATCAAAATGTATTCAACAGTGTGTGTGACCTCAGATCTGTCTGTTTAGGCTTACCCTGAGAGGGTATTTATAGCCTTCAAATTCCTAAAATCAAGCTAAAGATTATTTCAAAAATAATATCTTTTATCCTAATTAAAACACTTAAAACTATTTAAACTAAAATACCTAAAACAAAGATAAAATAAAATAATATTTAAAATAATATCCTAAATCCTAATTGAAATACTAACATATATTTAAACTAAAATACAAAGATAAAATATAGTATTAATATATATACTAAATAAGCCCCGGACGAAAATGAGTGTCTACAGCTGCCTATCTTTGTCCTTTTTTGTGTAACGAAAAATAGGACAAAGATAAAAGGACATAAATTTTCGTTCGGTAGTTGCGGATGACTTCTCCGTCGTGAAGTTGGGCCAATCTTGAAATGATATCCTTCTTTATGTAGTTTAGAATTTGAATCAGAATGTGGCTTCTTGTGGCCAAATCGTAGTCAACCTTGGTATTCTTCTTGGTTTAAAGACCTTAGTTTGCAAATTCAACCGGAAAACAATTCCTTGATGCTACCATGTGGTTGATATGCCCTCGAGCTGAATGGAATTGAACTCGAAGGTTTTTGTTGACAGATAGCCCTTCTCGCCTTGAGCTATGTTGTGACTTAGGTTAGGAGATAGTTCCTTGTTGTTGCAGATTACTCATTTGCTGTGGAATTGAGTCGATCCATTGGGTATGATATCCTTCTTCATGAAGTTGAAATTGTGAGTGGCTCATTCGTTGTGAAGTTGAGCTTTGAACTGAAAAATCCTGAGCACGATATCATTCTTCATGAAGTTGAAATCGGGCTCAAAGCATTGGAAAGTCGCTCCTGGATCGTCTTCTAGCCCAATACACTTCGTCGTGAAGCTGAAATTTGACCTGAAGACTTTGGTATGAAACTGGTTTTTCATTGTTGTGTTACAGATGACTCATTCGTCGTGAAGTTGGGTAAATCTTTTGGTATGGTATCCTTCGTTCTGAAGTCAAAATCGTAGGTGGCTCATTCGTTGTGAAGTTGAGCTTTGAACTAAAAAAATCCTAAGCACGATATTCTTTGTCATGAAGTTGAAACCGGGCTCAAAGCATTGGAAAGTCACTCCTGGATCGTATTCTAGCCCAATATACTTCTTTGTGAAGCTGAACTTTAACCTGAAGACCTTGGTATGAAATAGGTTTTTCATTGTTGTGTTACAGATGACTCATTCGTCGTGAAGTGAGCTCAATCTTTTGGTTACAATATCCTTCGTTGTGAAGTCAAAATCGTAGGTGGCTCATTTGTTGTGAAATTAAGCTTTAAATTGGATATCATTCATTGTGAAGTTGAAATCCAATCTCGTAAATTGAATCACTTTGAGATTAGTATCTTTTGTTGTGAATTTGAAATTGTGGATGGCTCATTCGCTGTGAAGTTGAGCTTTGAATTGGATGTCCTTCATTGTGAAGTTGAAATCCAATCTTGAAAATTGCATTGGCTCTAGTTTAATACCATTTGCCGTGAAGTTGACATTGACTCTAACAAGAATAATTTGGAGGGAAATCTTCAATCTCTGGTTGTCAGTCATGATGACTCTTGATTCTGGAATCTTGAATTTCTGATCTTGATCTTGGATTCTCCACCATGTTTAAATTCGATGTATATAATTTTATTTCTAGTCTTGGTTTAGGCAATGCCTTTCAGTTATCTAAGGTATGGTGCATAAGCCTTGATCGGCTTTCGAATATCTTCTAGAAATTGCCACGTCAAACCGTGTCATGCCCAGAGTCGTGCCCATGTCTCCAGCCGTGACCAAATAATCAAAAAAATTGCAGAATGCCTTCCTTTTAGTGCAATTTCTAGAATCTGACGCCCTGCACAGAAAATGAATTAAAACGAACAAATAAGTCACAAAAAACCAATGATTAAGGAGTAATTGAAAAGCAAAATATTAACTAAATTAAGCACTTATCAAATTCCCCCTCACTTATTCAATGTTTGTCCTCAAGCATTCCTCAATTAACATATCAAAATCATAAGTTGTCATCTTCAATTTCAATTTATTCCTCAAACTTCCAATCGAACTAAGTCTATGAAATTTTTCGAATTCAGGTTACAATCAAACAAAGACATAACTAAGGAAATTTAAAGTAAGCAAGATATCCCAATTAATTTCAAATTTCAATGAAACATGAATCAATACCTCACAAAGATTCACACATATCCGCTCAAAGTGTTTGGGGTGAATGAAATCGCTTAAACCGAAACTAACCAAAACATTACCATAGACTTGAAATCCAATCAAGTCTCCATTATGAAAAATGAATATAATGTAATGATCAAGGGGTCTTTAAACAAGGTGTAAAGGGGCTTAGGTTAGGGTAGAGAATAGACCAAAAAGAAAGGTTTAAAATACTAAAACAAGAGATCAAAATGATTAAAAACAACCCATGAATTAATATGAAGCGTAATAAAAAACAAAACAAGGAAAAAGAATAGATGAAAGACGATTGAAACAATCAATTTTTCCTTCCATTTTTTTATTTTTTTCGAATGAAGGTTTTTTTTTCTGTTTGAAACAGTGAACAACTTGTTTTTTTCGAAACAGTGATTTTTTTTCTTTTTTTTTTCGTTGAACAAGAGTGATACAAGATCTCAAGTCTGGGTAAGTGTGTGAAAAGAGAGGAAAAATAAAAGAAATGCTTCAGGTTTAATTGAGGTGTAAAACAAAGAAAGGGGAATAGGCTCAAATGTGGTTCACTAGTGGATAAGTAAATGGGTAGGCTTTTTGGGAAAAGTGAGTTTATTCTAGGTTCCCCTATCACATTAAAACATTATGTTCAATATGCAGTCTCGATATGCATTGTGATTACAAGTTCTAGAACATCCTAATTAGTCCGGCACACTCAAGTCAAACAATGAGCAAGAAAGAAAATGTATGCTCGTTAGGCTCAAATCTCACAAGAAAAATCTATATGCACCGAGTCAAGTTCATCTCTATCGATAAAAGCATGAAATATCAATACTCAACAAAAAATTCACCAGCTATACCAATCACCAATCATGCAAATTAAATTCGATCAAAACATGATCACAATCCAAAAGGAAGCAAGAGTATAAAGTGAAGTTCAAGACTGGAAACCAACTATCCCAACACATCAATATTAGAATAACTCAATTTCAAACAATCAAACAAGTCAAGGAAAAATTTGACGACATGCTTATCTTTTCCCCCTCAATTAATCCGTTTTGTAATAAAACATATGTCCAATTTAAAAACAAAGAGAGGGAAAAAGAATACTCCTCAATCTAGTGGCTAACAAATTTGGACCATTTCTTGATTTGTGCATGTCATCCTTGCATAGGGGCCATGCTAATCTTCGTCTGGCTTGCAATTTTCAATAGTTCTGCTTACCAAGAAATCCGATATGACACTTCCCTTTATAGTTTTTTGGCTCACGTACTCGATGTCAAATTCAGATAACAACATCTTCCATCAGGCTTTTTGATGGGAGGATATATGACCTCACAATTAGTAAACTTCTTTCTTAGGTAGTAAATGGCCTTTTCCTTTCTCCTGGATTCATCATGCTAACCTAGAACACACCCCATTGAGTTCTCGAATATGGATAAATACAAGAATAGAGGTTTACCCTGAATGGGGAACATTAAGATAGGAGTGCGAGATAAGTATTCTTTTATTTTCTCGAATGCAGTATGGAAATCCTCATCCTATGTTCCAGAGTTATTTTTTTCGAATAAGGCGGAAAATTGAGTCACACTTGTCGGTCAATTGATATACAAACCGCACTATATAATTTAACCTGCCCAAAAAACCTCGAATCTCTTTATGTGTTTGTGGGGGAGGTAAATTCTGGATGGCTTTGACTTTATCTGGATCGACTTCAATACCTCTCCTGCTGACCACGAAGACTAACAACTTTTCAGATGTTACCCCGAAGGTACATTTGTTGGGGTTCAGTTTCAGCTGTAACTTTTTTAATCTTTGAAGGAGCTTTCTCAGATTCTCGACATGTTCATCTTTGGTTTGTGCTTCGACAATCATGTCATCGACATAAACCTTAATTTCTTTGTGCATCATGTCATGAAACAAGGTCACCATGGCTCTTTGATATTTTACCCCAGCATTCTTTAGTCTGAAGGGCATCACCTTGTAGCATAAAGTTCCCCACATTGTGAAAAATGTGGTTTTTTATGTCCTCAGGCTGTATCTTAATCTGGTTATATCCTGAGAATCTGTCCATGAATGAGAAGAAAGCGTTCTCGATAGTATTATCCACCAAAGTGTCTATGTGCGATAGAGGAAAGTTATCTTTGGGACTCACCTTGTTAAGGTCTCAGTAATTAACAAACATGCGTACTTTTATGTCTTTCTTTAGAAATGACACTGTGTTAGCCACCCATTCCGGATACTCGACCACTTGAAGGAAGTCGACATCGAATTGTTTCTTGACCTCTTTCTTGATTTTAAGGAGCATTTCAGGTCTTATTCTCCTTAGCTTTTGTTGCACCTGTTTGCATTCTGGTTTGACGGGCAGTTTGTAGACTACCATATCCATATCTAGTCCTGACATGTCTTGATATGATCATGCAAACAAATCTTTGTATTCTTGAAGTAAGAATATTAAGTTTGGTCTTGCTTCAGTTGAGAGGGTTGTGCCAATTTTGACTTTCTTTCTCTCCTCTTCTGTACCCAGATTCAGGACTTCGATTTTCTCTTTATGTGGCAAAATTTGCTTGTCTTCTCTTTCTATCATCTTTAACAATTCGGAAGGTAAATTGTATTGGTCTTCATCCACTTCCCCAAGACAAACGAACTGTTCAAAATCCACTTCCGGGTTAGTATCATCAACGCCTGCATTATCATTATCTCGTGACTCTAAAAGAAATTTGAAAACCACAGGGTAATTCTTCAGTCGTTCAGTTGCTAAGCACCAATCCAGGTGGCAAAGGGCAGATTTTTGACCCGTCCATATTTTCGGTATTCTCTACGGTTATAGCGTTAATACTCTAATATTTCAAAGTAGCCTCCAAATCTGGTGAAGTCGTCCCAAACTCATAACCACTAGATTTAAACGTTTCATAAAGAGGTGGAAAAACCATGGATTCCCATTGATATTAATTTTCCATTCAATCTGGCTAACCTTCTGTTTCAGTTATTCTAATCTTCTTCATCTTCTGTTGTTGATTGGGCTGAAAATCCAGCCAGAACTGGTCTAGTTTTGTCATATGAAGAACATGGCTGATCCTTCCTTGCAACAGATTCCTAAATTCTCTTTCTATCTTAGTACATTTTCCCAAGATCTGCTTGATCTCCATTTTAGTGCATTCGGAGAGCCGTGGTTTTGAAATCCTTCATCCTTCAGCCACATATGTGGAATTCACAAATTCTAAGGAACAAAATGAACATTCTACCGCTTCATCAGTTACTTCTATGTATGGGCGTCAGTAGTCACACTTGCTACAATATCTTCTTCAACATTAACAATTACCAGAGCCCCGTCGACGACAAATTTAACTTTCTGGTCCAATGTAGATGGTATTACTCTAGCTTGATGGATCCAAGGCTTGTGGAGGTATATCTGGTGTTTGTTCCCTCTTCTTTTGATGAGATATTTTCTCTTAGTTAATGTGAATGTAAACGTATGGAAAATGAAAAAAAAAAAGAAATGCAAGGTAGGAAAATGCATGATGCATAAGAATTAGAGGCATTGATCCAAAACGTGTCTGTTATTATAAATAATCTTTATTGAGAAAAAATGTTTTATTTTTTAAGAGAAAAAATATCTTAAAGGTACATTCTGACTAAATCCTTTAAACCTCGAACAACCTTTAACAGGTTGACAAGTCTTCTTCATTCATCTGTCATTGGTTGAATACCTTGTCGGACCACTCTCGCTTCCCTTCCTAAACCGTGCAAGTGACGAACTGCTTTTTGTACTTGTTCTCGAATAACTACATCTCTAGCATTCATCATTTGTTGGGCCTATTCCAAACGAAAATGCCACTAAAATCCCCCATCAAAGGGAACTATCTAAAGCTCATTTGCTTGTTTTGAACCCTTCCATAATGACCTCCAATTCAACTATGGGTTTTCCATTCCGCTCTTGTTGCTTCTGAAGAGATTTCTCTAAATCAGTTATTTGGATCCTTAAACGCTTATTCTGGTGTTGGCTGTCTAACAAATGTCTCTGACAAGTCTTTAGTTTCTCTTTCAAAGTCTCTTTGCCCTTAAAACTGCTAGCTTCACTTTTCCAGTACTCAGAAGATCTTTTCAGATTAGAATTGCTCTGGACTTGTTCTTGATATCATTTTCTCAAATCCTCAAACTCAAAGCAAAAATTTCTTCGGCTCTCTCTCTAACTTGTCCGCCAGATCCTTCTGGGTATCAACATCCAACTTCCACTAGAATCATTTAGCCTCGGGTTCTCTTAGACTTTGTTTCAGCTCTTGCTTTTCATCTTCAAATTCTTTACTTTCTATCTCTAGCTCGGAGGGAACATGCTTAAGATGTTCTTCCATAGTTCGAGTGTCTTCATGGTCTGGCATTAGGATGGTGTCATTTTTTCTTAACCTTCTCCATTCCAAATAGTCTGGAGTGAGCATGTCCTTATCGACCACGACATCCATACAGAACATTTTCTTCCATGACTCAATTACTTGTTTGACCTTTTTCTTGTAGTTGTCCCTATGATATGCAAATTTTGATCTAGATATTCCATGTGTTATTGGGACAAACTAACGTGCCCCATACTGTCGAAGTGCCAAAAGTGGAGAGTATCCGACTCTTCCCCATAATCCAAATAATGTCATAGTTTCTGAGTCTCCACATCGAAAAGAATGTCACTATGGATTAACCAGGGGGCTCTCCAGACAATATCCCTATCTTGAAGGTGTGTGAATACCTTTATCCATTTTTCTTTTGGGACACCTTCTTGCCATTTTAAGGTGAGAAATTCCCCCAAAGGAGAATAAGTTGTGCTGAATCGATGATAAGAAATCTCTTTAGTCTTCCAGAAGTGACTATGGATCCAAACTTGGAGAAGCTGTGCACACCCTATAAATCTTTCTCCACCAGTATTTCTGTAATGGTTGAGGGAGCAAAAGGTTTAAGCTAAAATTACCGGTACTGGATTTACTTACTTCAAGAGCTGTTCCAACAGTTCCACCATAGCTGCCTCAATGTACCCCAAAGTCTTTGGAAAAATAACCAAACTATGAATGCCTAGTGCAAAAAAGTCCATTGTCTTCCATTCATCGAGGTGATTCTTCATTAGTAACTTGATCTAGGTCCAAGCAATTCTTTCGCAATGCAGAAAAGTAGTGTATTTTTTTATTGTGGGTACCACGTCTTCTTGGTTTAATGCACATCAACTGTACACCAGATTCTAGAATTGTATTAAGGCTCTGATTAGGGGCTCATCGGTCTTGACGTAGAGTAGGAGTGTGATATCACCATACCACTAGGTTAACTTCCGCTTCTGGTCACTCTTCCAGATGTCCCAAATGCTCCGTAACTTTTGAACATCATTCTGCTTTAGGCTGAAAGAAGCATAGCTAACCAGATATGACACGTAGCTTCCTTGCAGACTGTCTTCCTTTTCTTTCTGAGTCTTTTCGGACCATAGTCGTACCTCAGCATTTTTCACCTCTTGAATTACAACCCCTTTGTCCATTAATGCAGATTATTTATATGTAATGAACACTTTTTATTGAATAATTACCTCTTTTTTATGATGCAAATGATAAAAAAACATGAAAGAAAAATTAGTTAGTAAGATAGAAATAATAATGATAACCCTTAGTCTTTAGCCCATTACAAGCTTATGTGGACTAAGTTAAACTCGAGAGGATACATTGCCTTATGTCCATACGGAGAATAAAATAACACGAAAACATAAGGTATATTAATCCCAAATGTTAATTGCTAGGCCCCACATAGAATAAATTCTCATGAAGGCGTTGCTTTCATCTCCACTTAAAAAAGATTCAGAGCTCGGGTATCTAGCCAGAGATGAAAACTTTTTCAAAAATCTGAGATCAATGAAAAAATTCAGTACAACTATTTACTTGAAAAATAATCAAAGGTAAGTAATAAGAATAAAAAAATTATCTTAAAATTTAACTTACAATTTTCATTTTAAAAAAAGACAACTGGAAATTAGCCTTAGCCTGACCCACTTACCTGTTCCCAGCAGAGTTGCCAAACTGTCACGGCCGTCTTTCGGGTGGGCCCGAAATTGGGCTTCGTCTTGAATAAGAACGTTAGAGTCGCCAACGATCATTTAAAAATATTTAGCTAGATCGAACACCATCTTACCTAATATGAGTTTTACAAGAAATATGTCAGATTCGAGAGTCGATTACAATCAAGGAAGGATTAGCACCCATGAACTGCCC